TATATAGAATTATTTTTGTATATAGTAACTCCATAAAGTTACTAACTTTAAAAACTACCAATAAAGATATGAGCAAGACCTCACCTTAATACCAAAAAAAAAGAATTAGCTTTTTACTTATTCATATATGATCAAGTATATATATTATTAATTCTTCCATGATCTTGATATAATGATCAAGAAATTATATTAAAAATATATTATCTAAAATTTTTTATTTTTTTTAAAAAAAGAAGAACAAGTCATAATGAATGTTATACTTTATTACAACAATGCCTTTTCACATACTGCTAAAATTGTTAGAATACTTGAAATAAGAATATGTAACTTTGCTTCTCAACCCATCTTATAACCCAGACTTAACACCATGTAACTTTTTGTTCCCTAAACTAAAAAAAAGAATTGCTAGTTGATGATTTTAATGAATTAAAAACCTTGCACATCCTGTAAATTCAATTTTTAATAATATTCCTAAACAGAAATATGAAAAATCTTTTAATAGTTGTGTAACCGGCTCCAACATTGCATAGATGTTGACGGGAAGTATTTCGAAGGGATGATGTAATTTTTACCTCATTTCATTAATTAAAAATTGAAATAATTGTACTGTGACAAAACTTATTGATCGACCCACGTATATTTATGACCATTCAATGATGGCAACGACGAAATTAATTTGACCAATCAAAAATTTAAGAATACAGTTGTTCTTTATAACGACCTCTGGATATTGTAAATTATAAAATTACAAATAAATTTCATCGATACATCTGAACATATAGAACGAACTTTTTTCTATTGAATAGTCAGCTCGTTATAAAAAAATTAACACATAAAGTTACAATCTGGAACTGATAATATTTTTATTATCTTTATCATACCTATTAGTGATCAAAATCATTAGTTATCGTTATCATTAAGTGTTGTCGGATGTGCCAAAAACTAATAGTTATCGTATATGTTGTCGTTTTGTAGGCATCAACTTTCCGATGAATCCTAAAAGAAAAATCGTATTTTTTATTTTTCTTGCATTTATTGTGTCAAAATGCTTACAAAATTTATGATCTGTCATATCATCATGAATTTTGTCATTCGTCATTTCGTTGCCTGACGGAATGGTTTCGTCATTCATCACCCATCATTACAACCATTACTAGTGAAACCCGTTACGTTATTGATGAAGATCACTATCTAAAATATTAACAAACGTAGCTAAGTAATATCTGCATCAATAACGTAACTACCTTGTCGTGGATTTCACCTTTCTAATATTTATTAAAATTTTTTTCTTCGATTTTTCAAATTGGAAAGCGATCGACAAAGCATAAAATCCAATAAACACATTATTCATTAATTGCTGTAATCAAATTTCCACTAATAATAAATAAAAAACAAAATTATAACTATTAATCAAGCAAATGCAATTGCATCAGAAAACCTTGCAAATGTCTCGATAGTATTAATAAAAACCTTGAAACATTTCATAATTGAAGGATATAATCATTTTACAAGGTAATTGAATATTCCAAATACTTAATTATAATACTTTCCGGCCGTAATAAATATTACGTTTGAGTTAACTCAAAATAAATAAAATGATTAATTAATTTATTGCTTATCGTTATTATTTTGTTAGTCTAAATATTTTTAATGTATTTTTAGTTCAAGTTACATGCCCGATATATTTGGCACGTGATGGTTGAAACTTTTTGGTTGCGATTTTACCCGGCATCGAAGGTATGAATACTGTGCTTAAATTTATTTGCTGACATTAAAATTTATTTCTGAACTTTGTAATGTTTTACATAATTATTCGCCTTGTTAAATTACCAAACCTATTGTTTATTTCAAAATACATAATACAAATCATGTTTTGAGTGCTTATATCATATTAATGGTGGCAGAAAAAGAAAAGTAATATTTGCAAGAGTAAAATAATATATAATCATAAATATTGAAAGAGAAAATAATACACACAGGACCCTGAGACCGTTGTAGATATTAGTCAAATAATAACCAATTAATTAGAGAAGAGCGGCTAATTCTTTTAAAAAGATGGATACAGTGTTTTTCTAGAAGTTTAATGTCATGCGTATGATTTTTTAAAAATTTCCAAGCTTAACATTGATTTAGGTACAATTAAATTCGTAATATCCCCTTATTATAGTATTATGGAAACAAAGAAACTTTATGAAAAACATTCGTCTGATTAATCATATGCAAATTAATTTAACTGTCGATCTGGTAAATTCAGGCAACAAATATAGTAAAACCTCCATAAGTGCACGCTCTTGTGACAGAACTTTAACGACATGCACTTAGAGAACAATAAGAAAAGATGCATTTATGAAGGTCATGTATAAATTTGGGCCCGAATTTAAGCATTTAGAGAGTGTATGCATTTATAAAAGTTTCACTGTATATATGAGAATGAAGAATCAAAATTTGATGATAGTAAATCCTGATTAAAAAACTTTAAAGAAATGCAAAAACGCTCTTTATGAAGTATAAATTTTTTTGTTTGTTAGTTACTAACGTATATTTAAATGAATATGCATGTTATTATAATATAAATATTGTTTCATTATCTTAAAAATTTAATAATTTTTTAGAACAAAAAAGGTATCAAAGTATCAAATCAAATTTCATACCTATTCAAAAAATAATATATAACAATAAAAACATTAAACGAGAGAACAAAACTTTTTTTGCAACATTAAAACTTAAATTTGAAGTTTACGTATATTAAAAAAAATTTATTGACAATAAAGTTAATAAATTAAAAAACTTTAATTATTTCTTTGTGATTTTATAAATCTTATGCTGCTGCCAAAGATTGTTTTTGGTCTCATCAGCTCGTTGTTGTCCGAAATCTGTGGTGCTCAAATTGAATTTTAAGCAGCGCTTACATACAGTCGGCTCCAAAATTTTATCACAGTTACACAAAATATTAATGAATGCAACTGACTCTTGATATAAAAAAAGTCACTGGGTACAGTCAAATCCTTCTTATATCAAACTTATATAAAAAACATAAATTTTTAACTGAAACTGGTAAAACTTTTTTATGCCAAGAGCTTCTTGTATCGAAAGTTTCCTATATCGAGAGTTACATATATATACTGTTGTTCGGTAAATCGGCGAGTCTGTTGCTAATTCCTTCCAATTCTCGTGTAACCTACGGCGGCTAAGTCGAAATAGGCGTGTTATATTTGGCTGGTTGGTTTATCCGTAGGTAAGTACTAATCTTCTCTTCTAAGTCTTTCCTTCCATTATCCCTTTGCCTTCTCTTCTCTTCTTTCTACTTCCTTAACCTGGGGTTACGATACGTCGAATCGGGTTTGGATCCTTCTCTTGCGTTTAATGGCTTTGTCACGTGATTTACGGCGAACGATCAAAATACAGTTTAGAAATGGGTAGAGATGGGAAAATAGAGGTTTTTTGAAACTACTGCGCAGCCTGCACAGCCTACACAACCTCAGTCCCTAGAGACTTTTACTCATTAGGTTTCACTTTTATATATATAAAACATCTACTTCATATGTTTAAAGTTGGGCACCCATCATTTTTAATTAATGCTCCAAGGTTAGTTTAACGTCAGTTTTTGTTTTGCGTTTTTTCTCACTTTTTCTCTGCATATCGGTGAATTGATAATTCCGGTCAAATTTGCAGATCATTTGGCCAGATCTAGAACAAAACAACTTTAAATGTGGTCAAATGATCTTCAAGTTTGACCAGAATTATGAACGATGGATTCTATTAATCAGGTGATGCAGATCCGTTTTTCTTTCGGGCCGATCCGAAAAAGTTTCAAGACCAATCAAATCTCAAGATCAGGTGTAACGTAACACAAATAGAAAAACACTTATAACTCAAAATTTCGTCTATGAAACTGTCTTCTGCGCATTAGTTAAAAGTTTTCCTGTTATAGTAAATGGTTTTAGACACCAATCTAATGGCAAAATCCAAACCCTAATGAAACTTTTTAGGGTGGCGATTCTACCCTTGTCATCCGAACCGATTTCTGATTGGTCTGGATTATAAAGCTGGCCAGAATTATGAAAATTGCACTGCGCAGCCTCAAAAAATGCCTGCGCAGTGTCCCATCTCTACAAATAGGCGAACGATAGTTTTTTAGTTTGTGTTGGGTTATAGTTTCACTTTTAATGAGTTCAATACTTAGGTTTTATTGCAAAATGTATGTACTTGGGGGTATCACTTCATACCCTTTTCCCCTGGGCGGATGCCCTTTATTTATAATAAAACTTTTATTTGCATTCGAGGTTAATTTCCTCTATATTATCTATTTACACGATATCATCATTAAAACCCTTATCCTCTCTATAATAAAGAAAAACCGAATGTTCTATATGCCGTCGATCTCTTACTTTTCATGTGACCAATTACTCGGGACCTAAATGTGACGATCAATCACTTGTCAGTGTGACCGCGATAGCTGTGGGGCAATATATAAATTTGTGTTGTTTTTTGTGTAACCGTGATAATGGCCCACCTAGTAGTATCGCTACCAAAATCATGTACATTACACTAGTCCAAATTTTTTTAAGCAGTTACCTTTTGTTAATAACTCGCAATTTTACCGGTCAACATGATTATTTTTAGTAGTTAGCCAAATAAAATATATAAGTGACAATCTCATATTCACTTTCAAATATATATATATATACTTTGTATAGAATTTAGAAATAACAATAGTGTAAAAAAATGTGCATGCTACAGATGAATGTTGAAGTAACAAAAATAGATCAAATAAGTCAGGAAGAAAATTCATTAGAGAACAATTAAAATAATAAATATATAGTACCAAGAAATCCTGAAGTAAGAATCACTAAAGTTCAGGAAATGCTAGATAGTTCAGTTGAGAATTAAATTGGTGAAATGAAGAAAATTCCGTTTCTAAAGATAATTTTGTTTCTAAAGAAGATAATTTTGTTTCTAAAAAAGAAATTTTATCCTCAAGAATCTGAATTTTTTCTAAAGAGGAAATTCTATCTTCAAGAGCTTGAATTTTTTCTAAAGAGGTAATTCTATTTTCATGAGCCTGAATCTTTTCAATAGTTTTCTGACGTGACATTTGACACGAAGGATCAACTATAACAATCTTTAGTGCATCATTGTTAAATGACATTTTATTTTAATAATAGAGTATGAGGGCGATTTAACTTAAGTATAGCTTTAAAAAACATTTGTCAGTAAAAGAGAGCATCCAAAAGAAAAAGGGGTGTGAGGAATTAACTAAAACGAAAAATAACCTAAACTTAATAATTTCATCACAATATTAAAAGAAACATACTCAAGAAGGTAAAATGTTGCAAGTTTGCCAGAAGAAGGAATAGTCGCCACAATACACTGTTGAACTGTACTATGGAATATACAAGGGAAAGAAAAAGCATAAATTTTTTTTCAATAAATTGTCGAGACATACACTCATATTATCGTAATAAAAAACTTGACTTTATATAACATCCTAATTTTATATATTTTATGTAGCATACAAAAAAGTTACACATGAAACAAATCTTTCTTGACATCGTGATGTTCCATAGAAATGTAATAAATAATCCCGGGCTGATGTAACAAAACAAACGCGAAAAACATAAGAAATTGTAAAAAAAAACAAAAATACGTAAATATCACAAAAATTTACTATGATGACTAACTTCCAACCTCTAAGTAAAAGTTTTCAGAATGAAAATTTTTGATATACTACGATCCATATCTTTTTGGCCGGCAGCTCGGGATTAGGAAATTCGTCTATTACTGTATTACATTTCTATATGGAGGTATTCCAATGCGTGATATTACGTACAGTATATACTAATACGTACTGTACATGGACATGTCTGATACACACATGTAGGGTGCTAAATAACCATGCGCATTGTCAAATAACCATGCACATTTCCAATACTGCAATAACTACAACTATAAAGCTCTACCATGTTAAAAGTATTCTAGATTGGTTCGCTTATACAAGCATGAATACTTCCAAAAAACAACCTGGTTTGACTCTTCAAGTTTATCAAACCTCTGAAAAATTTGATAGTGATAGAATGTAATAATTAAATTTAAACACGCATCAATTGGTCAGATTTTTCAGGTACTAAGTCATTAAATTATAAACTCAAAAACATCGTTTTTTTTTCTGATGGCACTTAAATGCAAATATTTTGAAGATTTTAAAGTATAAGAGTCAATTTTCGTTCACATATACTGTTATTTGTTATCGTTAATTTGTTAAGCTTTACACGTCTATAAGGACGTGAAAGATACAATTATGTTCTTACGACAATTACAATGATTATGGCAATTACAACCATTACGGCATTACGACATATTTAGAACTCTGAGTATTAATTGTAATTAGGGTTACAACCCAGGTTGTGATTCGTAATGTCCATGATTCTTACTTACGACCGGTAACCTTAACCTCAAGTCACTAAAAGTTGTTTGAGGGTCTCATTAATAGAACTTATTTCCGGACGTTTTGTGGGTTCACTATCCCAACATAATTTATATAGTTCGATATACTGAGGTGGTGTTCCTACTATAGGCACTTCTCTTTCTCCTTTAAGTATGCGCTTGGAAATTGAAGCTCCAAATCTAGTAGGGTTAAATGGTGGTCTGCCACTGGTAATTTCCCAAAGGATAACGCCCAAACTATAAATATCGGATCTAATATCACGATAATACAAAGGATCCTTAAAGCATTGAGGGTCAACGTAAGCTTGGTACTTTTTAGAGATTGAACACGAAGCTGTATTGCTTTGTTCAGATAAACAAAAGCCTGTAATTATCATTTTTCCTTCGTATGCCATGATGTTTCCATAATGCTAAATAATTAAATTAATAAGTTATCTTAATAGGTATACAAATATGTATAGCGCAAAGTCAGATAAACGAGTTATTGGCTGCGTAGCATTAAATAACAGTATTATCTAATAACTTACATAACGATCGAACCAACAGAATGACTCGAGTTCGGTTTGATAATTGTCAGATAACAAAGTTATTTCGTGATGGTGCAATCACCATCAAAATAACTCGAGTTATTCTATTGACGCGATCATAGTAAGCTGTCGGATAAAAATCCTTACAAGGTTGCAATGAGCTATAGAATTCTTGTGCAAGAACTCGATTCCTTTTACTATTTCTTCAGCCGTGGTTAATTTTTCATTCCATTTTAGCTTTGAAAAATTATGATTTAAGTAATCACGCAAATTCATCTTGCCGACAAATTGTAAAACCATGTAATAATGATCGTTTGGATCTACTTATTTAAATTAAATTTAAATTTAATATGTATAATGATGGTTCATATATCATCATATATCATTTAAAAAATTAAAAAATACACATGCATTGTGTCATTCCGTAAAATTTAATGACATTTGAGTGGAAAGTAGCTTTTTGTAAAAGTTCAAGCTTCAGATAAAATTAAGTAAAATTTAATATAATATGAAAACTTCAAGTTTAAACTTCACAGGTTGAAATAAAGTATATCAGATATATTTTATAGAGCTATCAGTAAGCCATCAGATACATTATAGCTCTATCATGTGTTTGATAGTTTATTTCAACTTGTGCTTACCTTGTTAATAAATTCTTGAATAACATTTTTTTTTAAATTTTTATCGTTAAGGTAAATAAGAGCGACCTTAATTCCGTAATTTTTCCACGAAGCTTTAAAATCTTTAACAGATTTAACAGTATCACTAAATTCAGTCTTATTAAAGAAAGTAATCTGTTGATCAAAAATAGCTTTTTCAATCAATCTATTTAAAGGCTTTTCGGTGCTTTTATGAACGCTTGTTGAATTAAATTCATTTAAAAAATTAAGGATGGTTTTAATTTCTGGGCGTTTTATAGGATCATCATCCCAACATTTGGTGTAAAGATCGATATACTGAGATGATGTGCCTTCTACAGGACTTTCTCTGTTTTCTTTAAATATATGTATAGCAATTTCTTCTCGAGATCTAAACGAGGTAAACGGTTTTCGGCCACTTGAGATTTCCCAAAGAATAACTCCAAAGCTATAAATGTCAGATTTTTTATCACGTTTGTATCTATGATCTTTAAAGCATTGGGGATCAATGTATTCTGTCATTCCATCATCCATTAAGTTGGAAGTTGAGGCTTCAATAGTCAAGTGTTTTAATAAACCTGTAATCATCGCTCTTCCTTCGTGGATCAGAATATTTTTAGAATGCTAAAGACATGTTAGTAAAAATGTAAATAGTTCAAAAATTTTCATAAATGAGTGTTACAGTGTGAAAACCGTAACCGTACTTAAATGATTTATTATGATCAGTTACGAGTTTTCACTCTGCAATACTCAAATGATAAAATATAGCTCACAAGATCCTGATGAATAATATTCAAATTATGTAAGAATGCAAGACCCCGTGCTATCTCTGTTGCAACACGAAGTTTATCTGTCCATTCTAATTCAGAAAAATGCGTTCTAAAATATTCTCTAAGATTCCCACTATTTGCAAATTGTAAAACTGACATATAGTTTTCATCTGAATAATATTGCACGCATGAAATAAATTTTTATGATTTTGATTATAAGTTTAGTAATCATATGTTATTAGAAAGCTTCAGACATTAACAAATAATGGCTTTTTTCTCGAACTGTCAGCTTGAACAGCAAAGGTACCTTTTTTAGTTACACCATAGAAGTGACTTATATTTGGATGAAAGCCTGCTCTTTGTAAAAGTTTATACTTTGTATACCATGTATGTAATGGTTTATCATTAATATATACGATATAAAAAGGTTTAATTGTTATTGGATGAACTTATATAACAAATATTTCTCATACCTGCTTTACAAAATTTTGAACTGCACATTTATCGAAATTTGTTTCGATTCGTAAATGCTTAAGAACCACTGCTATTTTAAAAGATTTCCATTCTGATTTGTATGTAGAACCAAATTCACAAATTGGTGTGGGGGTAGTAAATTCATTATAATCAATTTTATTAATTTGCTGTTGGGAGATGGCTATTTCAAGCACGTTTGATGAAACTTTTGTGCTGATATTATTATCCACAGATCCAGGAGCCAATTCATTTAAATCGTCATAAACTGATTTTATTTCTGGACGATTGTTAGGTTCTTGATCCCAGCACTGTTCATAAAGCTTACGATATTGTGATGGCGTTCCATTTACGGGAATCTCTCTCTTTCCTTGAAATACATGAATAACGATTGCTTCTTTAGAAGTAAACGATTGAAATGGTTGTCTACCACTTGAAATTTCCCAAAGAATTACTCCAAAACTATATATATCAGATTTCTTATCGCGTATATACGAACTATTAATAAAGCATTTTGGATCGATGTATGCTGGCATTCCATGAATACTTTTTTGTGTTAATTTATCATTAATATTTTGTGATAAACCGAAATCTGCAATCATCATTCTCCTTTCGTGGACCAATATGTTCTTAGAATGCTATAAAAAGTCATAAGCCTCTTAAAAATATCAAAGCACTTTTTTTTTTATACCTCTTAAAGTATACTTACAAGATCTCGATGTACAATATTATTGTTATGTAAGAATAAAAGACCTTGTGCTATTTCTTTTGCAATACGATATTTGTCTGTCCATTCTAAAGCTAGAAAATTTTTTCTTAGATACTCTTGTAAATTTCCTTCATCAGCAAATTGCAAAATCAAAATGTAGTGACCGCTGAAAGGATCTATTTATATAAATTAAAATTGTTTTACGTGAGGCGACTTATCTCTGTCCTTATTTAATGTTGATTTATAAAATAACATGTGACAGTAAAATTTATGGGATACGTTTTTTAGGTTTTTTATTAGGTGAGTAAGGATTTGTGGTTATTAGCAAAACATATATAGTCAAAACAAAATGGTGCCAATTGCCATTCAAAATTTATGATACTGTGCTTTAGCTTTAGTAAATGTTTAATTTGTATGTTAAGTGAACACATGCCTTTAGTTATTCCGTATAAAGGATCTATATTAGGATGTAAACTTACTGTCCGTAAAAATTTAAGCTATATAAATAATAAAAAACTCCAATTAATTAATAATTCCTAATATTTTTCAGATAATTAATAATAAGATATACCTCTTTAATGAATTCATCAGAGTTTGCATTAACTTTCAGACTTTTAAGAGCGACGGTTAACCCAAAACTTTTCCATTTTGCTTTTTCTATTTTTCCAAATCCACCTTCATTAATTTTAGCCAGATCAGTAAAGCCACTATAATCGTAAAAACCTATGAGGTTTTCTGAAATTAATTGTTTAATCAATTGTTCCGATTCATTCGAGAAATTCATCTTATTTGGTTTTGATATTGACAGAAAATCTGTCGAAAAAAACAGTCAATTTATTCGTTTTCAATTGTTTACTTTATTTGTTGATCAACAAGAAAAAAACGTGAAACCCCCTTGAATGTGTGCAAGGTCGGTGGCTCATTCATTCAAAGAAATTTGCGCCATTCAAAAATTTTTAATTTAATACTGTACAAACTAAACAAATTACCATTCATCAGATATCTAAAAGTTATTTATACCCGCTTCATGTTTTTTTTTTATTTTCATAAAAGTAAATCACGTCCACTTCATTATTCTAATTCAAAGAATTATTCATATGGTTTTTTCTTAATGACTTTTAAAATCATTTTTTATAATTCAGAATAATAGTATTCATCAAAATCCTGATTAAATACGAAATAACAAGAGAACATTGGCCTTAAAAGTTTGGATTTCCAGGCCTCTTCTCAACCCCTGATTTGTCACTGTTATGTCACTTTTATAATACCATACACATTTACATCGGTTTCAAAGCAATGATTGTCATATGATAGTTATGTGAGCAAAGTTTTATGGGTTGTTTTTTATATTTTTTGATTGCTTTAATAATGTTTCTGTCAGAAAAAGTTGTTTCTATGTCCTATATAAAAATTTCATTTTCGTACGTTAGTCCGAATCTACGCTACCATAAAGTGTTACGTTCGTATTTAATGTCTTAAATTAATGGGTTAATCATGCATAAATAAAAATCACCTCATTGCTAGTAAGTAGCTTACATCACTATCGCTATTAGTTTTCACCATGATTTGTAATTTGCCATAATTTGGTTGTTTACCGCTAAGTCTAACGGTATTTTTGCAAGCGATTTAGACCCAAAAGTGGAATACAGTCATATGTTGATGACAGCAACATGCTGCAAGGGGGATTTTCCACAGTGGCTGTGATCGACAGAGTTCTGGCCGCAATATACACAATTTTAGCCAGAATTAATCTTTTATTTTTAACTCAAGTGGTAAAATTAGCCCAAAAATACAGTATATGTTTCACTTAATGGACAGCCACAATCTCCTCAGTAAAAAATTTCGAGTAATTTTGATCTAAATTTTTGATTATCTCTGAACAAAATTCACGATTTTAATTGGCTAACAGAATATTTAATTTCGGCATCATGCTAATTAATGTTACGATTAATGTAACATTACACACTGTTATAGGAAATTTCTAATTTGCAATAATAAATGATGCATATGTTATACGTACCGAAGTTATACAGTTCTCCTGTTATGCTTTTAGGTTTCTTAGAATATGAAAAGCGTTTCCATGGAATATTTTGGATGACACCTCCAACTATAAAAATCGAACTACAATATAATTGTATCTAAAATTTTTGAATATAAATATTTTTTAGCATATTATCATATTGTCTCTTAAATTAATAGTAAATTATTAATAATAAAGACTATTTTAAAAAGTACTAAAATTGTAAAAAGAGGTGACATAAGGATGGTAATGCTTAGAAGTGTAACTTTTGCAACAAAATCATATTTAGGTATTATAACTAATTTATTTCATATAACAATTTAGTGATATTACATATCTTGCTAAAGAAAGGTTTAGTAAACATACAAAGTAACATGTGTGAATTATATAAAAAATATATGATTTCAAATAGTAAAAAATTCAACAGTTGTTCTTAAAAGCCTAAATAAGTCTGAGAGTATCCCTTAAACCGTAGACCATTTCTAGGCAAATTTGTCTAAAAAATTACTTATAACCTATATTTTTTAAATTTTAAAATATTCAAATAAAATTTTGTTTGATAATATTTAAAAATAAGGATTATAATATAGTA